GGAGATGTCTGAATTATTTCCAGCTATTCTCCAGCGGTTCTGGTGAAATGTAAGTGATTTTGTTCTTATTTTTGTACTGAGTGAATATATCAAACTCTTGCAAAAAAAAAAAAAAAAGCTGAAAAAATAAAGGATTTTCAGATGTTAAAGTTACAATGAATGTATAATAGTTAAGCAAACACCCTTAAGTATCACAAGACCAGCACCGCTTAAGCAAATGTAATCTAAATTTGGATTTTGTTATTACTGTATTATTTTTACTAGTGTACTATTGTAAACTATATAATATAATATTTAAAATAAAGTAATACTTTTATTCAGCAAGGATGCATTGAATTGTTTGAAATGACACTAAATACATTTAAAATGTTACAAACGATAACATTTTAGAGTAAGTTTAGACGTTTAGAGTAAAATAATAGAGCAGTAGATGTGTTTAGGAATGAATTTGCATTAGGTAAGACTGTGATGTCCTCAACAAATTCCTCAGAGCTCCTGACAGAGACTTCATCAAGTCTATTGATTTTTTGATTTGCACACAAGATCTAAATGGTGAACAGCATTATGTTTGTCTAATGGAGCAAAGCTGGGTCATCAGTTACAGTACATTGGCTGTCATTCCTAAACACGTCTTCCTTAGGAATTGAACATCTCTCGGGCTAATAATTGGCTAATGTTCTGTTCTTTCATTATGTGGTTATCGTTTAAGTCATTCACAGAAAAAAAAAAGCAGTGGTGCTCTAACGCACTAGCTTGGCAGAGTTTGAGAAATCAAGATAGTCTGAACTAGTCTGTCAGTTACAGTACATCTGTCACTTAAGATGCATCTTCCTTGAAATGCAAGTGGAACTCCAGGCCAGTGGGCTGACAGCCCAGCTTCTTCGCTCACTAAGGTGCACACTCCATTATTTGGGTTGTAAAAAAGTACAATATCTTTTAAAATGCCCTCAAGAAACCAATCACAGTAATCAGGGTCACTGCAGGTCCTTAAAAAGTCTTAAATATTTTAAAGGGTAAAGAAAAATCTCAAGTATCACTTCAATAAGTTTTACATTTGGGGACGGAAAACAGGAATTGAATGTGATGATTAAACTGAAAAATGCTGTAATTTAATAAAATAAATCAATGTGAGTGCCGCACATTTCAATAAATAAATAAATATATATATATATATATATATATATATATAAAGAAATAATTTTTGCACATTTAACCTAAAAAGCCTTAAATTTAATTATTTTATTTTTTTTATCTACAGTAATGATTACTTTAAAGAGCAGTTGTAACTTCCCTTGTGTTTTAGATTATTTGAACAAGTGGTAGATTCAGATAATGTCTAGATAACCACCAGTAAAAATGTTCTGTCATTTCTAATTTGTGTAGTTCTTAATGCTACACAATACTATAATACTAATAATAATCAGCTACAACATTTGAATATCAAGTAGCAGATTATTAAAAATAATATTAT